CACATGCTGACTTGGGACGCCTGTGCCGGGCGGACGGGGACAGGGGGACCACATGTACAGGGCTTTCTTCCCCCACACGGGGGAGGGGGGGGGTGGACTGCGAGCTGGCACTTTTTTCTGCCGCCCCGATCAGCCCCAACGCGCCTGGCGCCCTTGCCACCCCGCCCTGGTGAATGTAGCCTCGTCGCACATCGCCTCCTTTCCTCCCCCTCCCCCCCCCCCACACCACCTGTACCTGCTCCTCTTTGCTCGCCCCCCCCCCTCCTTTATCTTTCCCCTACTTTGCCTCCCAATCTCCCGCTGACGCCCCTGCGCGCCCACCAGACAATGGCCTACAACTACAACAGTGGCTCCGGCCGCAACAACTACTACAACGTCGATTACGACAGCCACGGCTCCTCCGGCTACAAGCCCGAGGTCCTGTTCGAGGATGAGTTTGTCCCCGGCCAGGGCAAGCGCCTGTCCTGGAACGACAAGCTCTTCTTCGGTACTGGCTACATGTATCTGATTGGTGCGTCCCGTCGCGCGGTCCGCTGTGTGTATTCGCCGCCGTCTAGGGGCCGCTCCTTCTAACTGCCAATTGGCCATCTTTGTTCTTCGCTTTTCCTTTCCTCCCTTCCATAGGTCTTGGTATTGGTGGTACCTGGGGTGCTGTCGAGGGCTTCCGCTACGGCACCAGCCTTCCCCAGACTGGTCGCAGTCTCCTTGTTAATGCCACCCTCAACGGCATCACCCGTCGTGGGCCCTTCCTCGGCAACAACATGGCCGTTGTTGGTATGTGTCCTCTTGGTGTGAGGGAGGGAACTCCCTGCTGCGGAAGCGCATCGCATTGCCTTCCATTCCCCCTTCCCCCCCCCCACCACCCCGGTCGATGACTGACCCGTCTCCTGCTCCTCCCCTTCGCCATAGGCTTCTCTTTTGCCGCCATCGACACCATGCTTGACTATGCCACCGGCGAGCAGAGCCACACCAACCGCATTATCGCCGGTGGTCTGACTGGTCTCCTCCTGCGCTCCCTGTGTACGTACACCACGCTCCCCTGGCTGGATTCCTCTTTCTCCCCCTGCCCCCTGACCGATTGCCCCCATCCCCTCCCCTTTCCCCTGTGCATAGCCGGCCCGCGCGTCGCCCTCACCTCCGGCGCCATTGGTCTTGCCCTTGGCACTGCCTTCACCTTCATTCGCCCTGCCTTCGAGGAGACCTTCTACCGCCGCTAAGTGCATGCCCCTCCCCCGGGCACCATGCTTCTTTCCCCCCCCCCCCCGCCTCCACCTCAGACATATCGCAGGCATCTGTCCTTCCCCCCTGTTATCCTCCCCCCCCTCTCTCTTTCTCTGCTGCCTGAGCGCGGGTGTTCTGTCTTTGCCTTTTTCTTCCCCACGCAGACGACCCCGCCTCCCGCAGGGGGACAGTCACGGTCGCATGTCGCGCGCCCCCTGCCATGGTCGGGGAGAGATGCAAAGGGCCATATGTATGCGACTACTTTCCCCCCCCCCCTCCTCCTTCTGTACTTGAGCCGCGGCGCTGCGTCACCATATGGCGCGCTGTCGCAGACCGCGCTTCCCCTTTTCCTCGCCCTCTCCTTCCCCCAAATGTAGACATCAAACCTTCCACACGCTAAAGAGCCCATACATCATCCATTTATAAGCATCTACACTCGCAAAGAGGGCGGGCGCGAGGGAGGGAGGGGGGGGGGACACAAAAAAGCATACATTGGGGGAGTGTGTGCTGTCAAGGAGAAAACACCCCCCGCTGGTGGTCCGGAGGTCTGGCTTGAGCTTTGTGTGTGTTTATTTCTTGTTTTTTTCGGCGACAGGGAAATTAGAAGAAGAACCCCCGCTCGGCATTCTTCTTCTTCCGCTCCAGGGTCTGGAGCAGCGGCCAGCCGCGGGGAGGCGCAGAGGATAGCCAGAGAGGGGGAAAGGCGCATGGGACGCAAAAAATACATGGACGCAGGGAGGATGAAGGTCGTGTCAGAGGCAGAGACAGCGAAGGGGGGAGCGAAGAGGCGGAGAGGCATAAATGGGAGGGTGATCGAGCGGAGGGCTAAGACCCCACCAGGGGATGGGATACGCACAGCCTGCTTCCGGCAATTGTTGTACGCCTGGATGAACTCACTGCAAACTGTCTTGATGTCGACCTTCTTGCCGAGCCCGCCATGCTGCTCCACGCATCGCAGAGAGGCCTTCGCCTCCATTGCGCAGGGATCCGTGTACAGGGAGACCGGGGCCTTGGGCTTGGCAGGGGGCCGGCTCGGCGGGGGAGTATCAGCCGGCGCCGGGTCTGGGCCAGACTCGGCGCCAGGTGTGCCTGGCGTCGACGTCGGCGTCGGCGTCGGCGCAGGGGGGGAGCCAGCCGATGCTGAGGCGGCCTGTGTCGGGGTTCCTGCTAGAGCTGCCATGATGCCCGAGCCGGAAGGGAGAGCGAGAAAAAGAGAGAAAAGAAGAAGGAGGAGGGGAAAGGGCCGCGCTGCTGAGCGTGCTGGTGGTAACTTGTGTATGCCCCTTATCGGACCGCGGCGCTGGAGGCCAAGGGCCTGCCCAAAAGTCTGAATGGGCCCCCTACCAAAGTGCCCAGGGACGGGGAAGAGTAGATCTCTGGCGGCCGGCGGTGGGATGATGCGAATCCCCGGCGGTGGGGGGGGGGGGGGGACCAAAGACCTGCCAGCCGGGAAACCGCGGCGGGGGGGGCATGGGCAAGTGCCAGGGCACGAGTTCAGGTATGGACGCACACGCACCCGGCGATCCCCCTCCCCCCGGTTGCTGTGCCCGCCCCCCCCCCCCCCCCATCGTCTGTCCCGGGGGTTGGACGATTCCCAGCTTACCCCACCCTCACGCTGGGCGCCCAGGAACAGCTGGGGGCAGCAGTCCACTGTGAGGTGAAAATGATTCGGTGTGATATAGCACGTGACTCACTGTCGGTCTTGGCGTGACTTTCCGGTCGGCGTGCCGTGTGATGCCCACACACCAAAGCGGACGAGCGGAGGAGGAGGGAGGGAGGACCGGAAAAAAACAGCAGGAAGTAGGGAGAGAAATGAAGTACATTACAAGGATACATATGCGTGCAGGGGGGGGGTGGGGGGGGGGGGGGGGGGGGGGGGGGGCGCGGGGCGGGGGGGGGGGGGGGGGGAGAGACGGGGCTCGAGCATATTCATGCGCATTCATGTGCGTGCGGCAGGCGGCTGCCGGCGCGCGGGGCAGTGCTGTGGGGGGGGGGGGGCATCCTTCCTGCGTGGCCTCTTTCTGAATGCGGCGATCGGACAAATACACGGAGAGCACGGCGCGGGGGGCGCGAGGCCCAAGAAGCCGAGGTGACCCTGACACACATGAGAGAGGGGAAGGGAAAGAGCAGGGGGAGGAGGCCGGGCGACCAGATACGCGCTCATTTTTTTCTTTTTCTTTTTTTCCTCGCGCGCCGGGGCTCTCTACTGCCCATCATCATGGGGCCTCGCGCCTGTCCTGCCTCTCGCCCGAAAGCCCCCTAATTCGCCCCTGACCAGCCAACTCAGGAGGAGGCAGCGGCGGCGGCGGCGGTGGCGGCGGCGGCACGGCTGGTGGCCGAGGGGGGCGCCGAGAGGATGATCCCCTCGGTGGATGACGCAGCCGAGGAAGCACACCCGCTGGTCTCCGGGTCGGAAAGCGGCGCAAACCGAGCAGCAGCCACCGGACGAGGAAGCGAGCCCCAGAGGCGCTCGGTGTTCAGAGCCGGCAAGCCAGCGGCCAGGTCCGCCGGGGTGGGGTAATCCGCGGCGTGACTCGGGCTGCTGATGGCCGAGATGGCACGCATGAGGTCGAAGTTGATCTCGTCTGAAACATGGGAGTCCTGCTTGTAGGCGGGATGGGCCCGAACGAAGTCCCGAATCCAGGCGGCATTGGTCTGGTAACGGCCCGAGGCGCGCCCGGCCACCAGATCCAGGTACCGGTCGAGGGTGGCACGCTGCTCCGGGGCCAGGCCACCAGCCGCATCCAGGTATTGGCGGATGAGGGGGATGATGGTCTCGGCAACGATGCGCCCGGCAGACTGCTCCTCCAGGAGGTCCCGCGCGGCGGCCACATCCTCCGGCGAGGCGCGCACATCCTCCGAAGTGGCGGCCTGGCTGCCGCCATCATCACCGTCGACAATCGAGTCACGGCGGAAGTGGAACTTCTCCGTGAGCACGGCACCACGCCGGTGAGCGCGCTCGAGGTTCTCATCGACCAGGGTAATGGGCATGCGGAAGTCCACATGGCGAGTGGTCCCGGTGGTCGGGCACCGGACCCCCTCGACAATGAGCCGCGCCAGGAGAGCGGTGAACACGGCGAAGGCGGCATTCTCGAACTCGGTAAACTGGACCTCCAGCGAGCGGAACTCCACGCGCCACCCAAGCGGACCCTCCAGGCAGTAATCCTCCTCGGTCTCCTGCTGGTCCTGCTTCGGGGCGTCGACCGTCGGCGGGGGGAGGTTGACCACCGGCGCGGCGATGGCCTCGCCCGAGGACGGACCCTCGCCCGTGGGGCTGGGCATGGCCGACGCGGCCACCGACGGAACGATCGACGGCGGGGTCAGCGGCGCCAGCGGAGGCGGCTTAAAGCGCATGGTCTGCCAGTTGGTGGACTGGATGTTCTCAAAGTGGTCCGTCGAGTGGGCATTGTCCTGGACCAGGAGCTCGCGGTACAGAACCAACGGGTCGCGGATGAACAGGTGCGCCAGATGCCGGGCAATGGGAGCCGGCACGCCGGCGGCTTCGAGACGCTCGCGCGCCGGCTCATTCATCACCAGCGGCAGGTCATTGAACCGGTCGGACGAGGCCTCCAGATAGCTGTCAACCGAGCCATAGCGCGACTTGCCAATGACATAGCCGGCCGGGCCGTCGGCGGGGTAGGGCTCAAGGCCGCGCTCGCGCCGGGTCCGATCATCGACCGAAGCACTGATCTGGTTCCACCGGCAGTCAATGTCAGCCAGGTAGCCGCGCCAGATGGGGGCCGCGGCGGAGACCGCCATCAGCACCGGGGTCAGGGGGATCATCTGGTCATACAGGCGCCGGGCCTCGGCAATGCAAGAGGCCTGGAAGGTGGTCTGCAGGCAGCAGTTCCCCATGCCGAAGCACATGGAGTCCATGTAGATCTGGCCAGCCGGCAGGTCGGCCGGGGGGGCCCCGTCAACCGGATGCGGAGTCACCGGGTAGGGGCCATCACGGAAGGGCCAGGGGGTGTTGGTGTCGCGGAAGACCGGCACCGCGACGCAGACCTTGGCACCGCGACGCTGGCGGATGTTGGCAGTCAGGGTCCGGAACCGGGGGTGCGTGTTGATCAGCTCATCCGGCGCAAAGAGGGAGTGCGCGGCGTCGCCATGCTGCGGGTGCCAGGGCTCGGTGAAGGGGGCCACCTCGGCCTCGGGGGCCATCTGGGGCCCGGGATCGACCGCGCCCTCGGCCAGAGAAGACACCGGGGCCGCCAGAGCCCCAAGCCGGGGGAAGGTGGTGATGGTGAGGAGACGCTCATTGGGGCGCAGATGGCCAGAGATCATCTCGCGGCTGCGAGTCAAAGAGGAGGCGCGGTGCATCGGGGGGGGGG